GCAGGCGGCGTTTGGACGGAACGAGGAAGCATTTGAAGGGGAACTGGGGCACACACATAGATACACACAAGTAAGAGGATTCCCCATATGTTCCCATATGTTCTAGGTTATTGTCTCCCCCCATCTCCCATATTTTCCCACATTTTCCTGGGAATCGACGATGAATTGTGTGTGTGTGTTTCTTTCCCTCCTGAACATTGTCAAACCATCCTCCAGAATGATCCGAGAGAGCCCGAACAATCCTCCCCAGCCTATCTTTCTACTGTCTTTGCGTTTTCCTCCTGTCGAGAGGGACGTGCCCGACCTGGCCTCGGGTGTGCGGCTTAAAGTCGGGGAGACGTAAGACCCGGGTACGGGGGACTCGGAAATCCCCGACGAGATCATCAAAAAAATGACGAGGCCGAGCCTGCATTTTGACGAGGCCTCCCGCTGCAGACGTCCCGCAAAACTCCTCCTCGTCAACATCCGAGTCGCGGTCGTCAGAAAACGATGGCGAACCCGAGTCCTGGCAAACCCGGGTCTTACGCTCCCCCGATAAAGGGGGGGGGGAGGGGTGCAAGCCCAAGCGCGCATGCCGGTGCTGGAGGAGCACGCAGCTGCAGGCCCATATACAGCATCGGAGGTCCGGCGCCGCCCCCCCGGGGAGGGGAGTTTTCAGCGGGCACAGGCGGAAGGTCTGGGCCTGGGGCGCGAGGAGGAGGAGGAGGAGGGAGGAGGAGGAGGAGGAGGAGGAGGAGGAGGAGGAGGAGGAGGAGGAGGAGGAGGGGGAGGGGGAGAGGAGAGGGATGAGGAGGAGGAGGAGGAGGAGGAGGGGGAAGGGGAGGAGGAAGGAGAGGGGGAGGGGGAGGGAGGGGGAGGGGGAGGAGGAGCAGCCAGTCCCAGGTGGGCAGCGGCACTCATGGAAGAAGGAAGGACTGCATAAGCATGGGTTGGGCCTGTCCCCCTACAGGGTGATTTGGGGCGACATGGTCAACAAATAGAGCATGGCCCCAAATTGCGAACAAAATAATCCAAAAGTTGCCCCCAGACTATTTTTGGACTATTTTTGAACATCCCTCCTGTAGAGGGGCAGGCCCGACTTCAGCACAAACGTAAACTTTCCGAGCTCACCGCGCGCCGGGGAGGGGGCCGGAGGCGCCGCCAAGGGGGCCCGCCGATCCAAGAACCCGCGCGGAGCTTCGAGGAATGGAATGCATGCTCGTTTGCGTGAGTCGAGTCGCAGCGCACGCATCCGAGAGGGCCCGCGCCAGAGGCCACTCCGGCGAGGCGTGTGCAGAGGCCTCCTAGATGGGGTCCGAGTAGATTCTGTCCGATGATCGCGCCACGTCGCCGATGCTTCGGCGATGCACTGGCGATGCATCGGCGATGCTTCGGCGATGCACCGGCGACGCATCGCCGACGTCGGCGACGCATCGGCGACGTCGGCGTGGAGAAAGACGGGCTCCACATCGAGCCGCATCGGCGATGCATCGGCGAATAGAAGAAGAAGAAGAAATGGCAATAAACATAAACTTTTGGCGCTCCGCGCGGACTTCTTGGATCTGCGCTGGCCCCCCTCCGCGGCGCGCGCAGCGCGCCAGGAGCGGCGCCGGAGGCACCGCCGGGGGTGCCCAGCACGGATTCAATAAACCCGCGCGACACGCAAAAAGTTTATGCTCATGTCGTTTTTTCTTCTTCGAGCGATGCGGCGTGATCCTCCGATCCAGAGGCAGGGGAGGAGGAGGAGGAGGAGGAGGAGGAGGAGGAGGATGAGGAGGAGACGGAGAAGGAAGAGGAGGAGGAGGAAGAGGAGGAGGAGGAGGACGAAGGAGAAGGATAATGAGAAGGAGAAGTAGTAGGAGGAGGAAGGGGAAGAGGAGGGAGGAGGAGGAGGAGAGGCGAGGGGAGAGGAGGAGGAGAAGGAGGAGAAGAGGAGGAGGACGACGAGAAGTGAGGAGGGAGGAAGAAGGAGAAGTGAGGAAAAGAAGGAGGAGAAGGAGAAGGAGAAGGAGGGAGAGGAGGAGGAAGAGGAGGAGAGGAGGAGGGGGAGAAGGAGAAGGGGAAGGAGAAGGAGGGAGAGGAGGAGGAGGAGGAGGAGGAGGAGGAGGAGGAGGAGGACGAGGAGCAGGAGGAGGAGGAGGACGACGACGACGAGGAGGGGAGTGACCTGCTCGGACGGGCGGGGAGGGCGGCCTGGCTGCGGCGTCGTCGCCGGGAGGCAGCCAGGGGCCACCGGTCCCCGCTGCGGGGCGGCGGCCTCTCGGAGGGGGGGGCGGGGGGCTCAGCGGCAGGGCGCGCGCCTCCCCCGCCTCCTCTTCTTCTTCTTATGACTGTTATTATTATGATGTTTCTTCTTCTTACTCTTATTATGATTGTTATGTTCTTCTTCTTATTAGTATTCGTATTATTATTCTTCTCTTTTTATCATCATTATTATGTTTCTTCGTATTACTATATGTTGTTAGGATTATCCAGTTTAGTATTATTAGTATTAGAATTATCATTATTAATAATAATATATATTATTATTATGTTTCTCCTCTTATGTTTCTTCCTGCTCTTGCTCTTCTTCCTATTCGCCCTTCTCCTCATCCTCCTCTTCGTCTTCTTCGTATGCTTACGGATTCGTGTTTTCCCTCTTGTTCCTCCTCTTCGTCCTCCTCCTCCTCGTCCTCCTCCCCATCCTCCTCGTCTTCTCATTCCCTCCTCTTCCTCTCTCGGCAAGCGCCTCGAGTGCCCCCGCGGCGTCAGCTCCTCCTCCTCCTCCTCCTCCTCCTCCTCCTCCTCCTCCTTCTCCTCCTCCTCCTCCTCCTCCTCCTCCTCCTCTTGGTCCTCCTTCTCTTCCTTCTCCTCCTCCTCCTCCTCCTTCTCCTCCTCCTGTCCAACGAGGGTTCTAGCACTCGGCGGGCCCCCCAGGCGTCCCTGGTCCTTCTGGGCCCTCCTGGAGGCTCCTCGTCGCATCGGCAGGATGGACACCAGGAGGGGTCTGGGGGCCGATCTCGAGCGGACTTGACCCGGGCGGAGAGCCGCCATGTCCTCAACTCGCCCTCTTTCCACGTTTCTTCTTTCAACGTGCCTTCGGAATGCTCCCGCGGAGTCAGCTCCTCCTCCTCCTCCTCCTGTCCAGCGAGAGTTCGTGTACGTTCCTGTCCTCGAGCGAATTCTGGTACGTCCCTGTCCTCGAGCACCGTGGAATCCACCACTTCGAGATCAATTACCGCGAGTACTGGCAACATGCCAAGACACTTCCACAAAGGAGGGGAAGGGAGGGAGCTGGATTCACTCAGAAGCGCCACTTCAAATCACAAAGGACCCCAGGCTCAGGTCGGGCATGTCCTCCTAAGAGGCGGATGTTGGACGACAGCTACAACGTGGTCAAGCCATGTTCAAACATGGCCCAACGATAATCGAAACATCGTCCCCAAGCTATGGTTTGCCCATTTTCGAACACTCCTCCGGCAGAGGGACGCGCCCGACTGGACCCTGGGCAGTGCGTGCGGCCGGTGGGGAGGCGGAACGTCCGCCCGTCCCGCCGGCATGCCCGAGACGCGGCGCCCCCGGGAGAGGAAGGCGCAGGCACGTGGCTCCGCCCAATGGAGCCCCAAGACGGCCCCAAGGGCGGCCAGGAGCGCTCCGAGGACGCCCCCCAAGAGGGGCCCAAGAGACGAGTTCTTGATGCTCCCGAGGGGGGAACGCAGTAGGAGACCCCATGTGTTTGATCGATCTCCTCCAAGATGGCCCCGAGAGCACCCCCAAGGCTCCCAAGAGCGCCTCGAGAGGGCCCCAAGAGGTGCTCGCAACCTGGGGGGGGCACCATACAGTGGAGGCCAGTCCACAAGAAACCTTCCAGAAGAAGCCGAACCCAGAGACCGCAGGGCGTCCGTGGATTTCTGGTGTGGGAACGTCAGGCCTTCCAGTGCAAAACCATCGAAACCCGAGAAACTCAGGGCACCCTGGAGGCAAGCAGGGCGTTTCTTGGCATTGGCCTCCACTGTATGGCACCTCACACGCGAGTCGAGCCTGACATCTCGAGATGAGGCACGCATCGGCCACCTGGATGAGACAGCTCAAGGAATAGCACCATGCGCCATGGCAAACCATGAAAATACCACGATGGTGTTCACTTGGAGTAACCGTTGAATGAAACATCGGGGGGGCAGAGAAAGAGGAAGAGAGAGCTAGAGAGAGTTAGAGAGAGAGAGAGACGCATGACGGTGGACGAGGAGGAGGAAGGGGATTGTCGAGGCAGACGAGGCGGGGGAGGGGTGAAGCAGGTGGAAGGAACGGGATGCGAAGGGGAGCATGACAAGTGCGAGGGGTGAGGAATGGAAGGGACGAGGGACGAAGAGGAACATGAGGAGAAAGGAATCACGGAGGTGACACAAGAGCGTAGGGAGGACGCAGAAAGTTGTGTTGCATCCTCGGGGGACCTTGGCTGTCCCGTCGCGGCCCTATCCGCGTCGAATTCGCGTTCAATCCATATCGGCCTCATCTGATCCGCATCGGATCCGTGTCGAAGCCATGTCGAATCAGCGTCGAATCCACGCCAGATCCGCGTCGAGTCCGCATAGAGCCCGGGTCGGGCACAACAAAAAAACAATGTGGGAGACAGGCGAGGTCCCCCGAAGATGCAACGTAATGAAGGACGGCATGAGGAGGACGAGATAAGCACGACAGGCAAGAGCTGTTCCCTCGCAGATGAACAAAAAAGCGGGGACGCGACGGAAAGCGGGGACGCGGCGGCAGGCATGCTTATCACCCTCCTTTTCCTCCTCTTCCTCCACCTCCTCCTCCTCCTTCTCCTCCTCCTCCTCCTCCTCCTCCTCTTCCTCCCCCTGCCCCTCCTCCTCCTCTCCTGTCCCTTCTCCTCCTCCTCCTACTCCTCGTGCTCCTTCTCCTCTCATCGCCTTCCCCCTCCTCCTCCTCCTCCTCCTCCTCCTCCTCCTCCTCCTCCTCCTCCTCCTCCCCCTCCTCCTCCTCCTCCTCCTCCTCCTCCTCCTCCTCCTCCTCCTCCTCCTCCTCCTCCTCTTGAAGCACCAGGCTGGGCAGCGACGAAGTTGCTTTTCCCCCCAGGAGGCTCAATGCGGCGGCACGGGGACCCTCGTCCTCGCAACCTGGCAGGCCACACTCGGGAGAAACAGCTACTGGAAACACACATCATCTGTCTGAACTCCGCTCGGACTTGGTGGAATGGCTCGGACCCCATGGCAACGCCTCTAGCGCCGCCCCTGCCGCGCTCCGCGCGCCGAGGATGGCCGAAGGGAGGAGAGTCCGGAGCTGGTCCAAGAAATCCGGGCGGACCGTGGAAAGTTTCTGTTTATGCAGCTGGTCTTTCTGGAGCTCCATGCTCTGTTAATGCAGCTCTTCATTGTTTATGTAGCTGTCCTCTCTGGAGCTACACTTTAGCTGTTTATGCAGCTGTTCTTTCTGGAGCTGCACTTTGGCTGCTCTTTCTGTTTACGCAGCTGTTCTTTCTCTGAGCACTTTGGCGGCTCATGCTGGGGACCTTCCCGGAGCCGCCCGCTCCAGCCTTGCGTCGAAGCTGCGTCGAACGTCCGTCGAGTTGAGTCGACCCTGAGTCGAACCTGAGTCCACCCCGAGTCCGCCCCGAGTCGGACCTGAGTCGAACTTGGATCGAACTCTAGTCGAACTGGGGTCGAACAGATCCGTTAGGTGGGCCCAAGACGGTACCCACAACGAGCACCTAAGAGCACTGCTCCCCCGACACCCCTCGGCGCCAGAAAGTATCTTCGGCGACCTCAGACTGTATCCCGCGAAACATCCGCAACACAAACTCGGAGGAGTGACGGCCAGATGCTGGAACACGCTGAGTCCTTGCTGAAGGACGATAGCACATGCAGTGAGACAGACGGAAGGAAGAAGGAGAATGCCTTCTCAGAATGCTCGGATGTGCCCTGGCCTTCTGAAAAGTTGTCTAAGCCTTCCCCGAAGACGCAGGAAACTTCTCAGAAGGCGCGAGGGCTTCTGAGAAGTCCCGTCGCCTTCTAAAAAGACATTTTCCTTCTCCTTTCCCCCCTCGCTCGCCGCCGAAGATCGATAGTACACGCAGTGAGACACATAGGATCTCTGCGAATGCAGGACACGTGCCAAGGAAAATGTGAACCTGTACGCTCGCTCGGTGCCGTGCTAGCTGTCCTTCCTGTACGCAGGCGGACAGGTAAACGCTGGAATGATGCATGGCGTATGCTTCATGTACCACTGGTACTCAGGGAGCTCGCCCCACTCCTTCTCGCCCTTGGCCTCGAGCAGCGGAACGCCGCTCACCTTCGCCCGCCGCCGTGCCCCCTGGCACGTGGGGAGGCGCGGCAGAATGCCGAGTGCTGCCTGGCGCGGCCTCTGCACAGCGGATCTCCACGCGAGGCCCCCCCCCGCCCCCCCGGGTCGCGGAGCGGTGCGCGCACCGCTCTCCCTCCCGAGGCCACGATCCCGCGCAACAGGCGGTTGACCGGGACCCTCGAGGCCACGCGCCCTCGATGCGTCTTACCGAGAAAACGAACACGGTGGACCCGCGCTGCCCAAGCCGACAGGACGGAACAGCGGATCCGCGCTCCCGGGCTTTCAAGACGGCCGGGGCAGGCGAACAAGGCCGGCAAGATGGCCCTATAGTCTTCCAAAACAACCCGAGATGGTCCCACGTCGGCCCAAGATTGCCCAAGTCGGCCCAAGAGGCTTCAAGAGGACCGCCACTGGGGCACAACGAACCTTAAATCCTTGTATTCACATGTATGTGTGTATATATTTACATATATGTATATGTATGTATGTATATGTGTATATATATAAGTGTGTGTGCGCTCCCCGAACAACGTTTGCACTTACAAGTTCTCACTTCTTACTGAAGAATTGGGCCGGTTTGGCGGTCTGACGGCTGTATTGTCGCCGACGCCGCGCCTCGTCGCCGCCAATCGTCTGGGCATGATTGTCGGTCTGACGGTTATGTTGTCGCCGCCGCCGCCCCGTCGCCACCCAAATTGACGGATATTCCCCCCGCCCCACCCCTGGGTTGATCAACTCCACGAAGAAATGCAACTGAAATATGTTTTTTGTCCCATCGTTCATATTGAATATGGACTTATACCATCCCAACCAAGCCAAGCTCGGCACCCCCCATCATGACTGTCAAATGATACTACCCCTCACATTCGTGACTCACAAAAACCAAAGTTCAAAACATCCCTTTGCACAGAAATCAAGCAAAGTCCACACGTGCGCGAACATGGCAAAATCCTTCAAGCACCACTGGTCTTGTTCACGCCGTGTGCCCCGAAATCACATGAGGACCCCATCTTTTCGCGACGTGGATGTTCAAAAATATCTGCGCGCGCGCGCTCTTCCGGATCTTTATGGCAACCGACGGTTTTGCAACATGTTCATCAAGTGCAACTAAACGGGCCTCCCGCGCGCAGGTGTCGTTAACATTTGCACGCCCTTTGCGCGCGAGCTGGGATGGGCGCAGTCTCTGTCACATGAAATCCATTCGGGCCACTCGCGCACGCTGCCCGCGCGCGCGCATCTCGAAGTCGTTCCGGGACCCCATCACCGACACATGGACAACATCATCGTCATCGGCGTGACTTGCATCGGTGCCGCCATTGGCCATGCCGTCATCAATGTCATCCTCGTCACCGGCAACGCTACTATCATCATCGAGTCTGGTATTGCCGATGTCGCCAAGATACCGCGCCTGCCCGAGCCACCGACTTGCACTAAAGTGCCCGCGCGTCAGCGTGGCCTGCGCGGCGCGGTAGAATGCCCAGCGATCAGCGCCACCGCGGCCGCGTCGGTCGCGCTAGAATACCCGGCCGCTCTGCGCGCGAGCCAACGCGCGATAGTGCGGCCGCATTGATGCGGCAGCCAGCGCCGAGCAGTCATAGCAATCTGCGCGGCATGGGTTTTGCAAACCAAGCTGCGGGCGGGTGGGTTGGATTAAATTGACAACTTCAAATGCAGCAGGGCGAAGTGCATCACATAGACTCTCCTCTCATGATAAATTGGTTTCCACCCCCACCACCACCCCGGGATTTTCACTCCACCCCGGGGTATTGCAATTAAAATATGAGTATGTCTCCTTACTCGGTTCTCCATTGAATTCATACCATCTCCGATAGTCCGGGTATCGGGTCCCCCCAACCTCACCCCTGTCAAATAATATCATGCGGTGCGCACGCGTTGATCTAAGATGAGCTGAGTGCATGTATCTCTGTAAAATAATACCATGCGGGCCATTTGCGCGCGCAAGACGAACTCCTTTCGAAACTGTTGCTTGCGTTGCGATTTCAACGTAAAACATTTTGTTCAGAAAAAAAAACATGTCAACACAAAGGGTTCCAACATTTCATCCCGCGCGTTCTTGCGGTCTCCTAGGAAACGCCATGCCTGTTCAACATTCCTGTCCAATGAGGCCTTCGCGCGCGCATGCCGAGCTCATTCCAGTGCCCTCGCGCGCTTGCCAGAGGCATGTTCCCTATCAAACAATACTACGCGGGGCACCGTCAACGTAGTCATTGCCGCCGGAAGCGTCGCGATCAGGTTCGTCATCGTCTGTCGGCGCCGTCTTCCGCGCCGTCCCACGCGAAATGGACTTTGCGAGCGTCCGCGCGCCAATGCACCTGATGAGATTACCCGACAATCTCCACGCTGCGACTGCCCCCCCGACCACCTCATCGTCGTTTGTCGACGCCGTCGTCCGCGCTGTCCCCCGCAAGATGGACCCCGCCCGCGCCACGAGGGTCCGCCTGCCGGCGACCTGGATGAAATGTGCGGGCGAGCTCCGCGCTGCAGCTGCAGTCGCGACCCCTTATGAGCTTTGCCGACCAAGATGCGGGCGGGAGGGTGGGGCACTTGCACGAGCGTGGGAGGTGGTCGCGCGCGGTGCAGCGTGGTCAAGTGCACCACACCGATTGCACCACTTAGATTGCGCCGCGTCGACTACACCGCACAGATTGCGCACCACAAGCTTGCGCACCACCGAGTTTGCACCACCTAGAGTTGCATCACGTAGACAGCACCACAAATATTGCACCAGTCAGGTTGCAAAACGTCTATTGCATCGCATGGGTTGCGCACAGCATAAAACTCACAACATCGATTGCACCACATATAATGCACCTCATAAGTTGCACACCGTAGATCGCACCGCACAAAGTGAGCAACACATGGGCTGCACCACATATTTGATCCCGAGCCGACGGTTCACAGCACCCCCTGATGGGATGTGCCCCAGGGTTCCACAGACGCCCCCCCCTTCCAGATGGGATGGGGGGGGTGACGATGCCGACGCCAACGCTGCCACCAACGCCGCCGACGCCGACGCCGACGCTGACGCTGACGCCGACGCCGCCGCCTTCGCCGCCTTCGCCGCCGACGACGACGACGACGCCGACGCCGACGCCGACGCTGAACGCCGACGCCGACGCCAACGACGCCGACGCTGAACGACGACGCCGCCGACGCCGACGACGGCGGCCGACGATGACGACGACGAACCACCCCACACCCACAGAGGTAAGCAACCGATCCCACAGCATAGATTGCTCCACATATGTTGCACACTCTGTACTGCTAGAAACATGCTGGTTTGGGTCCACGCTGGCTAGCATTTAACACATGTGTCTGTGTGTATGTATATACGCTGGTTTGGGCGAACCTTTCCAGGGCTCCATTCAGTTCCAGACGGCCCTGGAGGCCTCCGAGATGCCTCCCAGATGGGCCCAAACTGGCCTCTGAGTGCTCAACGACGGCCTCAGGCCAACCCCAAAAGGCCTCCAACCGGCCCAGGACTGCCCCAAAAAAGCCCCAAGCTGGCCCAATGAGGCCTACAGACCCAGGTCTGCCTTAGCTTCTTAGCTAGCCCATCGACGCCCCACGGCCAAGGATGGTCCCGCAGTACGCGCAACAGACACCCCAGACAGCCGCGAGGGCCCCAAGACGGCCCAAGAGAGCCCCCAGACGGCCCAAGACGGCCCAACCTGGCCGAAGGGACCCCAAGACTGCCCCACAGGAGCCCAAGAAAGGACGGGCGAAAGGGAAAAAGGCGACGGCGACGAGAAGAGAACCTGCAAAATGACGCGGCAGAGCGAGTCGCAGGTCACAGCTCCAAGCCTCGGGACACGGGCCCTGACATGGCGGGGTCTCCTTTGCGCCCCCTGGACAGTCACCTCCCAAGATGCTGGGCTGGCACGGCGGGAGGGACTTGCCGCAAGCACCTGGATAAGCAAGACGTAAGTCGTGAGAGGGCTCAGCCAAGACAGCCACTGCGCGCCTGTGAAGCAACTGCTTCCTGAAAGGCAAATACCAATCCACATACATATCTCACCAAAATAGTTCGGGTGTCGTGAATACGTCCATAAGCCGGTCGTGATAAACTTCTTGGCATTTGCGGCGTTGGCCCGGAAAGAACCCTTCTGAGCGTCAGCCACGACCTCGAGAAGAAACGCGGCAACCCACACAGACCAGCCAATGGCATCTAGCAGACCAACGGAACGCGCATCGCAACCCTCGGAGGTTGAAACCACCAGGGCCGGGGATGCCACAAGAAAAAACCAGAGAGCTTGGATGGTCCAGACGCCCAAAAAGCGGAGCCAATGCTCCTTGAACTTGTCGAATCGTGAGTCGCGGCCATCTTTCAGAATTCGTGCGAAGAGAAACGAGCCTAAGCGCGTGCACCAGATGACCACTAGGAAGCTACTGATGATCGCCCTAGCATTGTGCCGCTCTTTGGATAGGAGCGCAGTTAGCACAACTGCTAAATACGTAAGAGAACCACTTGCGTCGTAAAACTTCTCGCTTTGGTATGGCAGACCGTGAATGAGATACACGACCCACTGGATTGCAAGGGCCAAGGCAGCAAGCTTGCTCAGCCCCATTGCTGGAGAGACCGAGGCTAGAAGAGCCACAGCAATTCCATTGGACAATATTCCTCTCTTCATATTCGAATCCATTACTCGACTCCAGGCTGGTCGGAGCTCGACGCGGTGATGCTGCTGCAGAGCCAAAGTCTTACTGAGTCGCACGGGCCTGAGCCAAAGGCTACGGAGAACGCAGGGACAGCCTGGATGAAGCACGGGCCGTTCACGACGAAGCGGGTAGGCAGACACACGAGGCACGAAGGCTGCCAACGTACCTTGGTTTCGGCGTGCCCTGCGACTACACCGAGGAGCCCCACAGACTCCGAGGCCCTCTGGGGCTCCGCAGCGCCCTCGAAGGCGCCGCGAGGGCGCCTGCAACTATGACCACTGCCGGGTCCAAACATACAACAGCTCTCATCGGCATGGGGCAGATTGGCCCTTGAAGAAGCGGGTCCGGGACCCCAGGGCCTTTACTAGACGCGTATAACGATAAAAACGCCGAATCCCTTGTGGGCCTCCAGGCGTGTGACATTGTTCCCCCCACACTGGAAACTTGACCCCAAACCGGAAACTTGACCCCGCCCCCCCCGGCCCGGGACGAACTCATCATGGGGGAATAGAGGCCCCAAGACTGTCTAAGAGGGCCCCGAATCGCCGAAAGATCGTTCTAAGATGCCCAAACCCCAAGACGCCTCCATCAGGCCTCCAAAGGGGGCCCCAGGAAGCAAACAGAGATTCCTCTTACGCTATTGCAAGGTTTTGGCGTTCTCACTTTTTCCATTTCCCGACGCTCCGAGACGGCCCAACCCCCCAATTCGCCCCAATACGGCAAAAGAGGCATCCCACAAGGCCCCAGAACGACCCAAGAGGTCCCCAAGACGGCACAAGAGGCCTCTAAGACGGCCCAGGACGCCACCAAGACGGCTCAAAGAGGGGGACCAGACTGGGGAGCCAAACGAAAATGTCGAGCCCTCGGCTCCGGGAGGCCCCCAGGAGGAGCTGATCGGCCTCCAGGAGTCCCCCCAGAGGCCCCGAAAGGCCCCCAAGAGGCGCAACCCAAGGCCCACGAGGATCCAAAGAGGCCCCCAAGAAACTCCCCAACGGCACCCCTCAAACTGCCCCCCCCCCAGGCCCCCGGGAGCGCTCCGAACCTGGAGAAGCATCCCTGAGGACTCTGACCCGAAACCCACGCACGGAGGCGGGACGGGCCGAGGGACCTTTGATATCCGCCGCCCCCTGTGCTTGTCACCAGGGTGCCTAAAGTGCTGGATCCTTTCGATCAAAGACGCCTGCGGCGAATCACCGCCGCCCCCTGCCCTTGTGGAAGCGCCTATGTGGCCGACAGCTGGGCTAGAGCTTGGCCAGGCTATCGGGCCAGTTGTTCCCCGAGTTGGTTTGGAACGCCTTCGGGGGACGCGTGGGGGGGCAAGAGGTTTGAAATCGCCCATGTGTCCGAGCGTTGTGGCAAGAGCTCTGCCAAGCTATCGGACCATGTGTTCCCCTAAGGATGGCGGGGCAGATCAGGAGGAGGAGGGTGAGGAGAACGATGGAGGAGGAGGAGCAGAAGGAAGAGGAGAGGAGTAGAGGAGGAGGAGGAGGAGGAGGAGGAGGAGGAGGAGGAGGAGGAGGAGGAGGAGGAGGAGAAGGGAGGAAGGAGGAGGAGGAGGGGAGGAGGGGAGCCTCTGGGAGCACACTTTTGGGGCCTCCTGTGAGCTTCCTGGGTGCCTCTTGGAAGCATTTTGGGGGCCTCTTTGTACCTGTTGGGGGCGTTTGGGTGCTGCTCTGGGGTCTCTTTGGCCGTCTCAAAGCATTACTGGCACGTCCGATTATGTCGGAAGCCGTCTTGGGGGCCTCCCTGGGCTGACTTGAAGGCTTCTTAGGCCGTCTTGGGGCCCTCTTGGGGCCGTCTTGGGGGCCTCTTGGGCCGTTATGGCGCCGTCCTGGAGGCCCCTTGAACGATCTTTCGGGGCTCTTGGGCCGTCTCGGGCCGTCGGAAGGCCGACAAGAAGCAACTGCCAAAATCCGTAAACAAAAACCGTTGGAAAAACAATGGCTTTGGCCATTGGAGGACTCTTGGGCCGTCTTGGATGACTCTTGGGAGAGTCCAGGGCCGTCGTGGGCCATCTTGAGGCTATCTTAGACCGTCTTGGAGGCATTTGGGGGGCCTTTCTGGGCCGACTGGGGGCCCATTTGAGGTGCTCCAGGGCCGTCTTGGAGGCCATCTTGGGCGTCTTGGAGGCATTTTGGGCCGTCTTGGGGCCCTCCTGGGGCGGTCTTAGGGGGCCTCGTGGGTCGTTCTGGGGCTATCTTGGCGGCCTCTTGTGCGATCTTGTGGCGATCTTCGGGGGCTCTTGGGCCGTCTTGGGCCGTCGGAAGGCCGACAATAAGCAAAAGCCACAATCCTTCAAACAACCGTAGGACAAAAAATGATTTTGGCCTCTTCGTGCCTTCCTGGAGGCCCTCTTGGAGGCCTCTTGGGCCGTCTTGAAGGCCTCTTGGAGGCCTCTTGGACGCCTCTTAGGCCATCCTGGGCCATCTTGAGGCTATCTTAGGCCGTCTTGGATGCATCTTAGGCCGTCTTGGAGGCGTCTTGAGGCCATCGTAGCTGTCTTGAAGGCCATCTTGGCCGTCTTGGAGGCATCTTGGAGGCTATCTTAGGCCATCTTGAGCGAAGAAGCCGACGAGGCAGGCAGCTGGCGGAACGAGCCGAAGCCCCAGGGGGAGTTCTTTTGGAAAAAGAACCAAAACCAAAACCGAAAGGGTCCAGCACGCCAGGCACCCCTGCGATGAATCGACAAGGGGCGGCGGATTTTGGTTTTGGTTCTTCTTCCAAAAGACCTCTCCCCTGGGGCTCCTGCCCGTCCCGCTGGCCACCCGGAATGGACCGGAAACTGCACATGTCAACGCCTTTCACGCCCAAGGTGGCCATAAAAGGACTCCAAGATGCCTACGAGACGGCCAAGATGGCCCAAGATGGCCTCAAGTCCGCCTAAGATGGTCCAAAGATGGCCTCCAAGATGGCTCCAAGACTGCCAAAATGGCCTCCAAGACAGCTACGATGGCCTCAAGACGCCTCCAAGACGGCCTAAGATGGCCCAAAACGGCTTCCAAGACGGCCCTGGAGCACACCAAATGGGCCCCAAGCGGGCTTGGAGACGTCTCCAAGACGGCTTCCGACGGCGTCAGACGGGCCAGGAGCTCACCAAGACGGCCCACGATAGCTCTAAGATGGCCCAAGACGGCCCAACAGGCCTCCAAGAGGGCCTCCAGGAAGGCCCGAAGATGCCCAAATCATTGATTTTCCTCGGCCTTCCGACGGCCCGAGACGGCCCAAGAGCCCCCCAAAGATCGCCCCATGATCGCCCAAGAGGCTGCCAAAATAGCGCCAGAACGGCCCAAGCGGCCCCCAAGACGGCCCCTAAGAGGGCCCAAAGACGGCCCAAGAGGCCTCCAAGACACCCGAGATGGCCTCCAAGACAGCCCTGGAGCACCCCAAGAGCTCCAAGTCGGCCTGGAGAGGTCTCCAAGACAGCTTCCGACGGCGTCAGAGGGGCCAGGAGCCCACCAAGACGGCCCACGATAGCTCTAAGATGGCCCAAGGCGGCGACGGCCACGAAGCTTTAGATGGAATGCAGGCCTCTGTGACTGACATGCGTGGTTTTCTTTCGTGCCAATATGGTTCTATGGATTCGCCAATGAAGGTTGGTACGGGAGGAACCTTCAACGCTTCCGTAGGCTCGGAGCCCTCTTGTCCAGCCTCCAGTTGCCCTGGGCTGTCTTTGCAGACTGGAACATGCCAGCATCTAGCTTAGAGACTCGCGGTGTTCTTGCTAAAGTCCAGGGTCATGCCTTGAGGGCTTCGAATGTTGAAGTGACGTGAACTGCAAACGCCAAATATTCGGAGATAGATCATGCCGTGGCGAGCTCGAATTTTACACCGTACCTCTTGTCGTTAGAAGCTAGTGTAGACGTGCCTTGGAAACCACACTGCGGGTTGCTAACACGTTTCAGAGGAGCCGCTACACAGCTTTTTCTCACACATTCCTTAGATCTGCCTGCCAAGCTCCCCCAGTCTCAGCGCCCCACCTCCCTCCCCTCGCCTGGGTCCACATCCTCCAGGGCCAAAGCTCAACGTCTGGAAGCTCAGGAGGCTGCTCGAGCCCGTTGCGTTGAGGAGGCACACTTACTTGTCGGGGACGTCTTGGACGAGCCAGGGGAGCACCCCCAGGGTCCCGTTTCACCCAGTCAGGACGATGTGAACCAAGCTTTAAATCAGGATGCCGAATTCGATTTCGTTTTTGGAGCCTGGGATGGCGAGGAGGAGGAATTCTGGCGCCTGTGACGGGGCTCTCCTGTCTCTGGTGGCGTAAGCTCTGGAGCCAGCGGCGTCGGAGGCACGGCCGGGGCCCCCTCTGTAAAGCCCCAGGGCCCCGCCGAGTCCCACGCTGGCCACGGCAGGCCTCACGGTGCAAGCACCCGAGGTTCAGCAAGTGGAGTCTCACGGCCCTTCGGCGATCCAATCGTGCACGGCTGCTGGTGCTGTTGCCTCTCTCCCCCCCCCATTGCCCTTCCGTCACCATTGTGGCTCAAACACAGGGCCCAGGTTGGTGTTCTTTCGACCCATGCTCCTGGGGCGTGATCAGAGACTCTCTGGCATACATGGCTGGGGCAGCACACATAGATCATGCCAGTGGTCTGCATGGCGCTCGGGCGATGGCTTTGGAGGGCACGGTTCACAAGCATCATGAGATGATCCCTTCTGCCAGGAACCCACGCAGAGTGGACGGACCACGTTTCCGAGTGCACGAGTTACGCATGTCAGAGCGTTGCCGAGCCCTGCCTCTGCTGGACAGCTGCAGCACATGGCCACCACGATGTCACACGGCGCTGGCACGCTTGGCGCACCGCAGACGGCGAGGCAATTGCGCTCAACAACGCACTACTCCTCTCCAGGCGTGCCAGAAGCTCGTCACAGACTACCCTGCACAGGTACACCTGGCCTTGCACAGGGCGTGGTCATGGAGCAGCTGGCTGGAGCATGTGAAGTCGCCCAACGACCGCCCACTCGAGACGCTGATCGATATGGTGGCGGTGGCCGAGAAAGGGGCCAGCAGGGCCCGTGGCAAAGCCCTGAATGCCTCTTTGGATGAGTTTCGCACCGGGATTGTTGAGCACAACTCAGT